TATCTCTCATAAATATACAATCACTTTTCTTTTATTGGTGTCGATGCATTATAACTTTTATCTTATTTTTATGTTTAATAAATATTGATTACAACCAAAACCAGATTTATAGTAATAGAAACTATAACTAATTGAAGTTTCAATTTTGGTTTTAATTTTTAAAACAAAAAAAATTTTGGTTAGTCAAAATGTCAAATATTAGTTTTGATTTTAACCGTAACCAACATTTGCCGCGCACCCCTGATTTCAAGCACATATATATATGCTAGTCAAAACAAAAATTGTTGGATATCCTAGACTCCCTTCTCCTTCCAAATATGTGGTGTTTCTGATTTTATTTTCCCTTTTTTATTGAAGGTCAGGCTGTTTCAAGTCAATTTTCATATATTTTGAGACTAATATCTTCCTAGACAATTTTAAAAGTATGTGCTCACATTAGTATGATATATTTAAAAAATTAATTTTTTTAAATAGTAACACTAAGATTTAAATTTTAAATTTAATTTATAAGATAACAATTGTTTATTAGTATATCAACTCATAGGGATGGTGCTTCAGGCTTTTAGGGATTATTGATCAAGGAATATTTGCATAGTTGCCTTTGTGCCAAGAAAAGGGGCCTAAAATAAAACCTAACTAAAAAAAGATGTTATATGTTATATCTTTATAAATAAATAAAAGTTTTTATTAACGACTTATTAATTTAAATAAAAGGATCTAGGTTTCTAGCACTGGGAGAGCTTCCTGTTATGAGATTTGATATGTCTTGACTATGAATTAATCGATGTCTAATATGACTTTCAAATATTAAGAGGTTTAGTGTCAAAATAAATAAATAAATAAATAAAAATTTGGAATAACAAATGACATCATGGCCTAGCAAAAAACATATACTATTACCTTGGGTTAATTTTAGTAAATTTAATTTTTTTAATTTGAGATATTTAAATTTAGTTGTTCATTTTTTCTTTTAAAATGTCATTTAATACATTTATTCTTATTTCACTCTTATTTTAAAAAATAATTACAATACAAATTAAATAAGAAGTCTTATTTAAATAGCACTACTTAATTAGCAATAAATATAAAATTTTGTCAAAAATTATTGCATTTCTATTTTATTAGACAAAAGAAACTAGACTTAGCCTATTTTGTATATTGATTAAAATTCAACAGATAGTGGGTAATAAGTAGTGAATAGAAGATAGTAGATATGAGTAATGGGTAATGGGTGGAGGTTAACAGATAAAGGGTGATGGATAGCAAAAAATAGGTAGTGAATATATAGTAGATAATAGATTTCAATTGATATAATTGTTTAGTTATACAATAATTAGCGATTGTTTACTATTCGAAATAGTTATTTTTTGGACCAAAAAATTAGTTTGAAAATATTGCACATTGGTCTGAATGTGTTTATCCAAACCATTATTGATTTGGATATTTGGTCAAAAAAACTTGGTCTAAATAATTTTAATTCCAGCCCGACGAAAAATTAGTCTGAATAAATTTAATTTTCAGATTGACTTTAATCTGGATAAAGGCGACATTTTGGTTAGCAACAAACCTAACCCAGACCAAAATTGGTCTAAATAAAGATGATTTCTGAACCAACAACGGTTTGAATATTCATCAAAATTTCAGATTGACTACGATCTAAACCAAATTAGCCTTATTTAGAAAACTAAAAATATTAGGTCCTTATGTGTCAGTACTATGAAACTATTTTCAGACCAAAATTGGTCCAAAAATTAAGGCCTTATTTAGAAAAAAAAAATTTGGTCCTTTTATGTCAGTATGTCGAAACTATTTTCAGGCCAACATTGGCCAAAAATTAAGGCCTTGTTTAGAAAAACAAAAAAGTTTGGTCCTACTATGTTAGTATGTTGAAACTATTTTCAAACCAATATTAGTTTGAAACTTTGCAGCCCTATTTGTGAAAATAAAAAAATTTTAGTCCTTCTATGTTATTATGTTGAAACTATTTTCACTGTTCGAAAGTTATCCAAACCAATTACAGTATGAAATATAACTGCATAATAGTAAAAAAAAAAAATTACTTACTATATTATATGTCTATAAAATTCTGAAAAAAATACTTTTTTTGCATACAAATATTTACACATTCTAAAAACTAAAAATAATATATTAGATATTATATAATATTTACATGTATAATATTGCCTGAATTAAAAGAAAATATACAACATAGACAAAGTTAAAAGCAAAACACCCCCATAATAATTGAAATATAATTTCTTAAATATAATTTCAAAAAAATTAATAAAATTTATAATACAAAAAAAATACTCCAAGCTATATTTATACCTTGAAAATTTAATCATTTCCAACAAAAATAAATGAAATGGAATTAGTAAGATAAAATGGAAATAGAAAAAGCATTGAAAGATAACAAATATACAGAAGCAAAGTTTAAGACTTACCAACTTTTCATAATAACCTATAAAAAAAAAAGTTAGTAAAGCAAGAAAAAAAAAATTAAATCCAACTAATATCACAAATTAACAAAACAAAAACAAAATATAAATTTAAAACATAAAAACAAGAAATATAGTCAAGAAGTACAAAGAAAAATGTAAGAAATAAGAGGGAAATAAGAGGGAATGGAAGAGAACAAAACAAGAACAAAGAGGAGGACTTGAGAAAAGGGAAAAGAAGAAGGGAACAAAGGCATGGGAAGAGAGGGCAACACTAATATGAGAGAAAGAAGAGAGGGGAACCAGAGAGCAAACGGGGAGGAGAAGGACAGCAGAGAAAAGGCATACAAGAAAATTTAGTGCAGGAGGCAGTAGGCATGGAAATATATAGGCAAACTTATTTCAGACCGTAATCAGTTCAAACTATATTAAATTCATATTTGCCGCCCACAATAAAAATTTTGAATGTAGTGAAATTTTTGGCAGTTTATTATTTTAGATCACTATTTGTCTGCAGACTATCAAAAAATTTTGAATTTCCATGTCAAGAATTTTGGCAGAAAAGGCAGTAAATATATTCGGACTAGAATAGGCGGTAAATATATTTAGACCAAAGTTGGTCTGAATAAAAAACCCTTAAAGAAACATAGAAGAATGAAAACATACTTAATAAAAAAAATCCCAAAAAAAAAAAATGCTATATTCGGGACCACTGTTGGTCTAAATAAGTTTTCCAAATCAACAGTGGTCCAAACATCTTGAGTAGAATCCCTTTTTTTTTTTTCCTTGACACCCCAAACCATGCCCAATTTGTTCAACTTTGGTTCAAACAACATGCTCTAAAAGTCTTGAATGTCATAGAGTGTAACCTTAAAACTAGCAATACCAAACCTACATTTTGCAGTTTAGCAACAGTGTGGCATAACCTTAAAAGTAATAATTTTAATTATATGCGATTATGGTTTTGCAATGATGTTGCTTTACACCACTGTGAAGCTATTTTGGGCGACTAATTGATAGTGCTGGGGTTAGGAGCGACTATAGTAGTGAAGTGCATACATCTAGTTTTGGTAGAAACGAAATCGAGGCTCGTTTTGGTGGGATTTTCCTTAAATGAAAAGAATGAAAAAGTCTCCGAGGAAAAGCTTCTAAATTATGGGCACACTATTTGGACCATTGTTTGTTTGAATAAGTTTTTCAGACCAACAATGGTCCAAATATGTTGAGCAGAATCTTTTTCATTTTTTTCCTTGACACCCAAAACCGTACTCGATTCATTCTACTCTCGTTCAAACAACATGCCTTAAAAGTCTTGAATGCCATAGAGTCTAACCTTAAAACTAGCAATACCAAGCCTACATCTTTGTGGTTTAACAATGGCATGGCATAATCTTAAAAGTAATGATTTTAAGTCTATGCGTTTGCAATTTTGCAATCATGTGGCCTTACAGCACCGTGAAGCCATTTCGGGTGACTAATTGATGGCGTTGGGGTTAAGAGCGACTATAATAGTGAAGTGTATTGTTTTGGTGGGATTGTGCTTAAATGAAAAGAATGAAAAAGTCTTAGAGGAGAAGCTTATAGATGCTGGGCACACTATTCAGACCACTAGTGGTCCGAATAAGTTTTCCAAACCTATAATGGTCCGAATAATGTGCCTAGAATCCTTTTTTTTTTTTTTTCCCTTCACACCCCAAACTGTGCCCGATTCATTTTAGTCCTGTGCAAACAGCATGCTCTAAAAGTCCTAAACGCCATAGAGTCTAACCTTAAAGTTAGCAATATCAAGCCTATATGTTTGTGGTTTAGCAATGGCATGGCATAACCTTAAAAGTAATGATCTTAACTCTATGTATTTGTGATTTTGCAATGATGTTGCCTTACGTCACTATGCAGCCATTTTGAGTGACTAATTGATGGCATCGGGGTTAGGGGCGACTATAGTAGTGAAGTGCACGCATCTGCTTTTGGTAGAAACGAAATCGGGCTTCATTTGGGTGAGATTGTCCTTAAATGAAAAAATGAAAATGTCTGAGAGGAGAAGCTTTTAGATTTTGGGCACCCTATTTGGACCACCGTTGGTCCGAATAGGGTGCCTAGAATCTTTTTTGTTTTTTTTTTTTCCCTTCACACCCCAAACCCTACCCGATTCATTCTACTGCTGTTTAAATAACATGCTCTAAAAGTCCTAAATGCCATAAATAACCTTAAAGTTAGCAATACCAAGCCTACATGTTTGTGGTTTAGTAACGGCGTGGCATAACCTTAAAAGTAATGATCTTTAAATTTACGCATTTGCAATTTTGCAATGATATTGCCTTGCGCCACCATGAAGCCATTTCAGGTGGCTAATTGATGGCGCCAAGGTCAGGGGTGACTATAGTAGTGAACTGCACACAACTAGTTTTGGTAGAAATGGAATCAGGGCTCGTTTGAGTGGTATTATCCTTAAATGAAAAGAATGAAAAAGTCTGAGAAAGGAAGCTTCTAGATTCTACACACCTTTTTTGGACCATTGTTGGTCTGAATAAGTATTCCAAACCAACAATGGTTCGAATATGTTGATCAGAATTCTTTTTTTCCCTTTGACATCTCAAACCGTGCCCAATTCGTTTTACTTCTATTTAAACAAAATGCTCTGAAAGACTTAAATATCATAAAGTTTAACCTTAAAAGTAACAATATCAAGCCTTCATGTTTCTGGTTTAGTAACGGCGTGGTATAACCTTAAAGTTAATGATTATAACTCTACACATTTGCAATTTTGCAATGATGTTTCCTTACACCACCATGAAACCATTTAGGGCGGCTAATCGATGGCGCCAAGGATAGGGGCAACTATAGTAGTTTAGTGCACGCAGTTGATTTTGGTAGAAATTGAATCGAGGCTTGTTTGGGTGAGATTGTCCTTAAATGTAAAAAATGAAAAAGTTTGAGATGAGAAGCTTATATGTTCTGGGCACCTTATTCGAACTAACAGTGGTCTAAATAACTTTTTTAAATCAACAGTGGTCCGAATATACAATTTTAAAAATATTTTAGAATATAATTTTTCAAAATAATTCTAATATAAAATATGTTTTATAATATTAATTTGTTATAAATT